CGGTCTTGCCAGGGGTTCCCCGGGGGCTGCCTCTGGGCCAAAAAAAAACCTTCATGTCTTGGCCCTTTTGGTGGGGAAGAATTCAGGCCGGGCGCCCGTATGCTGCGCGGTTATTTGGTTATGTTGCCTCCGTGTTTGTGCTCGGTGTTATGGTCACCCCAGGTCTTCTCCCTGAGAGTCTTAGTTTTTGGGCCCACCTAGCCTATACCTTCCTGCAGTCTTCCTTGCCCCTCCCAATCTTCATGACTTTGCATTTGGCTGGATTGAATTCGAAAACCATTTACTGGACCACATTCCAGGTCTCTTTCAGTCCTGCCTCATCCTCGTCCGATAATTCTCTCTTTCAACTTCACTTCATCTGCGAACAGGACACTCAGAGTCTTTCCTTCCATTCATATCCCCACATATATCAAAAACAGCACTGGTCCTAGAACTGACCCCTGGGCACCCCGCCAACACGCCCACTGTGAACCTCTCACGTCCATACCTTGCTGCCTCCCTGCCCAGGATTCCCTTATCCATTGCCAGTGCCCCTCCCTTTACATCCCTATCCTCCATCGCACAATCTTTGTGGGAACTGTGTCAAGGCCTTCCTGCAGTCTAGGAAAACGCAATCTACCCACCCCTCTCTCTCTTGTCTTACTACTGTTTTACTTTGTCATAAAACTCCAGGGGGTTTTGTGATACAAGATTTGCCTTCCATGAACCCATGCTGGTTTTCATTTATAATCTTGTTCCTTTCCAGGTGTTCGACCACTCTCCCCCTGTTTAATCTCCCCCCATGACTTTGCACACAATACATGTCAGAGAGACGGTCTGTAGTTTAGTGCCTCGTTTCTGTTTCCTTTTTTAAAATATGGGACTACATTAGCTGTCTTCCATTTCTCAGGTAGTTGCCCGTTTCAAGGGATTGTGTTGAAGATTGGTTTAGAGCACGAAACAGCATTCTCTGCTCCTTCTCTAAGGACCCATGGGGAGTTGTTGTCCGGTCCCATCGCCTTTGAGGTGTCAAGGTCACTTAAGAGTTTTCTTCACCTCCTCCTCAGTTGTTCGAAATGTCATCCAACACTTGTTGGTATATTCCCTTTTGATGTTCCCTTCTGTGCTGTCTTCCCACAGCCCTTCCTGTCTCTACTGTAAAAACTTCCTTAAATCTCCTGTTCAGCTCCTCACATACCTCCTGATCATTTTTTGTGAGCTCTCCACCTTCTGTCTTTAATCTGATAAACCTGGTCTTTGACTGTTGTCTTCCTCCTGATGTGGCTATACAACAGTTTGGGGGTCAGTCTTGATTCTCGATGCTATGTCATTTTCATACTGTCGCTGGGCCCCCCTCCTTACCTGTGGGGACTCATTCCTGGCTCTGCGACTGATCTCCCTATTTTCGTGTGTTCTCTGCCTCTGACTTTTTCCATTCTCTATTGCACTTTGTTTTTGCCTCCTTACACTGTCGGGTAAAACCAAGGCTCGTTCTGGTCTTCCCGTTGTTACTTTTTGCCCTTGGGAATAAACCTTTCCACTGCCTCCTTGCATTTGTTGTTACATATTCCATCATTTCATTTACTGCTTTCCTGCCAGTTTCTGTCCCACTGGACCTCCCGCAGGAAGTTCTTCAACCCCTAGAGTCCCCTCTTTTATAGCCCAGGGCTTTTCCCATTCAACTCCTGTTATTCTCTCCACTTGCAGCTCTACTATTTATTCAAAGCACAGAACCACGTGGTCGCTAGCTCCTAGGGGACTCTCATACTTCATGTCCTCAATGTCTGAAGCTCCCCAGGGTGAACACAAGGTCCAATCTTGCTGGTTTCATCCTCCCCTCTCACTCTGGTAGTGTTCTTAACATGTTGGTGCATGAGCTTTTCCACACCATGTCTAACATCCTGGCTCTCCATGTTTCGGGACCCCCATGTGGCTCCAGGTTTTCCCAGTCAATCTCCCTGTGGTTGAAATCCCCATAACCAGCAACTTCGCTCTGCTGGAGTGAGCTCTTCTTGCCACCTCAGCAAGTGTGTCCACCATTGCTCTGTTGCTTTTCTTCATATTCCTCTCTTGGCCTCCTGCAGTTCTGTGGGGGATTATACATCACTGCAATGACCACTTTGTGTTCCCCAGGGACTAAAGGGGTTTCCCTGCTATGTAGTCTCTTTCTCCCTTTCTCATCTATGCCTTCCATTTTCTAAAATTTTTCCATCTGTTTTTTACGAGCAAGCAACCCCACCTCCCCCCCTGCCCCTTCTATCTTCCTCCATGATCTGGTATCCTGGGGGGAAAGATTGCATCTGTTTATTGTCTCCATGAGTTTCTGTTTCTGTAACTGCTATGATGTCTGGGGACTTCTCATTGATTTTTTTCTTGCCATTCCTCATTTTTTATTCGTTAATCCATCTGCATTTGTTTTACCAAACCTTCAATTTCTGTTCTAATACTGTAACTGTGGTGGGGGGGGTGGAAACAGAGGGATTGGTGTTGATGGTTGGTTTGGATTTTTCCCAGTTTGCCTTGGGGTGTCGTGCTGAGTCCTGCAGGTGTTTCTGGGGGGTGCGCTTGTCCTTCCTTTTTGATCCTGGGTTATTTCTGTCTCCTTTTTCATTTCCCCCCATTTCTCCTTTCTTTTTTGAACTCTCTCTTTCATTGTCTTCCTTTCTCCTGTTGTTCTGTCTCGATCGAGGTACACACTCCGGAACTCCTGCTTGCCTCTCAGCCATGCTTTCTCCTGCGGGATCATGGTCCGGGTTGATTCTGCCTTGAAAATTACTTTGACAGGCCGATTCCTTTTCTTTGTGAACCACCCAATTCTCCAAAAATTTGCCACCTGGGTCATGTCCCCCTTACCTATCACCTTCATGATATCTTCAATCCCTTTTTTCTCCTCCTGCTTTTTTTTCCCATCATAATTTTTCCCCTTTATATATTTTATAAGTATATACAGGGTATATACATATCCCTCCATTTTCTTCTATTTTCTTTCTAGTTCTTGTACTTGTTTATTTCTCTTATCTCCATGGGGAAGTGGAACAGAATTCTTCCTCCATAAGCCATGCGTGTTGTAAGAGGCGACTAAAATGCCGGGAGCAAGGGGCTATAACCCCTTCTCCCTTTATAAAATTACTAAATTTAAAAAGAAAACTTTTGTTTTTTTTTTTTTGAGCCACCCTCCCTTTGGGTGGATACGGCCGGTTTTGTTGAAAGAAAGAAAGAAAAAAGAAATGAAACAGAGGCCTGGGATGTGACTAATGAACAAAGGAAATGTTATTTTAGTGCCAGGAATGCCTGTCTTGTTTATTCTGGACCCTATTTGGGAAAAATTGGGCATCTTTTGAAATTTGTGTGGAAATTGGCAAAATTGACAATTTCTGACCACTTTATTGGATAGTTGAAATAAGTAAAGGGGTGGTTTCTTGTGCTCATTCGATAGACAAAAAGGAGTTCTAGCAAAATAGTTATGATTTTTGTCGACTGTACATTGGAATGGCCGAAAATAGGGCTCAAAGTGGGGAGTAGCTGGCGCCACCACCACGTGGCC